TCAGTGATATAGTATGATAGTGATAGTACATATACTGATCAGTCATATACTGTACTATAATTTGTTGAATTCTTTTTATTTGTAGGGTAGCTTTTCTAGTTATAGCTCCTCAGGATTGTTAAATGCTAAATGGTAAATATAAATGTGCACGTAAGGATGAAACAAAAGAAGCTTTAGAAAATATACAGCTGGTGATTGAAGACCAGTCCCAGGTCTTTCCTTCAATTGTCTGGCTGAGTGGTGGCGAGCTTCTAATGAGAGATCCATTAATGCAGATTCGTGAGCAGAATTTTCCAAAGCTTGGAAAAATCATTAGGTAGAAAAATGAAAACTGTGTTATTGCTTTTCTAGCAACGGCAACAATTTGGTGTTCGGGGGGGTGTTGGCGCAGAGGTTAGAAGATGGACCTGTGATCGGAAAGTCGCAGGTTCAACTCCCGGTACCGTCAACATCAAAATGTGTATGGAAAAGGTGGAACACCCACACTTCGCCCCACCCTGGGCCCCCCGAGCAAGGCCCTTAACCCCCACCGTCTGCTCCCTAAACAGGTCTCTTGAAAATGAGTTCTCGTGGCTCAATGAGACTACCTGTATAAATAAAGGGTAAATGAAAAAAAAAAATGGTGTCGAGTAGAAATAATTTGTTACTGTTTTTTTTGTTATACTTGTTTATAGCTCAACAACTCAATATTTAATATCTGAATAATTCTAGTTTTGTCTCTTCAGCAGCTTTCAACAGGAAGAGATGCTGAAAGTAGGCCTGTCGTGATAAACAATAAATCAATTAATCGCACGATAAATTAAAATTATCAACCTCATTTTAATTTATCGGCTTCATCGTTTCTTGGTGTCTCTTTCTACTGATGACACTGGATGACAAATAGCTCAACTCTGGTGCTCTTCACTGACCCCTCCCCTTCTATGTTCAATCGTCTTGGGCCTTCTTTGTCGCACCTTCCTCTTTATGATGCGCCAAATGTTCTCTATAGGTGAAAGATCTGGACTGCAAGCTGGCCATTTCAGTACCCGGATCCTTCTCCTACGTAGCCATGATGTTGTGATTGCTGCAGAATGTGGTCTGGCATTATCGTGTTGAAAAATGCAGGGTCTTCCCTGAAAGAGATGACGTCTAGATGGGAGCATTTGTTGTTCTAGAACCTGAACATAGTTCTCTGCATTAATGGTGCCTTTCCAGACATGCAAGCTGTCCATGCCACAAGCGCTCATGCAACCCCATACCATCAGTGATGCAGGCTTCTGAACGGAGCGTTGATAACAACTTGGGCTTTCCTTGTCCTCTCTGGTCCAGATGACATGGCGTCCCAGTTTCCATAAAGAACTTCAAATCGTGACTCATCTGACCACAGAACCGTCTTCCATTTTGCCACACTCCATTTTAAATGACCCCTGTCCCAGTGCAAACGTCTGAGCTTGTGGAGCTTGCTTAGAAATGGCTTCCTCTTTGCACTGTAGAGTTTCAGCTGGCAACGGCGGATGGCACGGTGGATTGTGTTCACTGACAATGCTTTCTGGAAGTATTCCTGAGCCCATTCTGTTATTTCCTTATGTTTACATTATTTAAGTTGTATTTCTGTTAGTTATTCTACTACAAGTCCAACACAAATATTAAGACATAGTGATGAACCCATAACGAGCTCAGCACTTAAAAAAAGAACGCTTCAGATGAGTGATAACTCTTCAGTAAACTAATACAACACGACAAACACATTTTTGTCAGTTTACCACGTGTGAGTAGTGAGACACTTCAGCAGACTAAAAACAAAACTAATAAAAGAGATTTATAGCTCTAGACTACAAAATATAAGAACAGTTAGCATAAATTGTACATGTACCATATTTATTGGACTATAAGGCGCACTTAAAATCCTTTAATTTTCTCAAAAATCAACAGTGAGTCTTATAACCCGGTGCACCTTTTGTATTAATTCTAGTTGTGCTTACTGACATCGAACCGATTTTATGTGGTACACGGTGCTCAAAAATCTGTCAAAATCTTTTAGTTTCACTTAATGCGCCTTATAGTCTGAAAAATATGGCTACATGTGTGGCTATCTCCATCTGTCATTTAGAGTAATTTATATGTGTACTCATATAAAAAATGGCAACATTATCATTCAGTACACATTCCCACACTTTTATTACCCAACATGCTCATTCACATGCATAGCAAGAGTGCAAATCACAGATTCAGTGGAGGCAACAGCCAGGAAAAGGAGGAGGAGGATGTGACAAGATTTACAATGATATCATTAACCTTGAGAAACAGAGAGGCCTCTTTGACACCATCTCACTCGCAGGCATCCTCCAACAACACTACTTTTGTGTTTTTGTACACAGCACACTCTTAATGCTCAGAGTAACACACAAGTGAGCAGATGTGAATAAAAAGATAATAAATGCACACTAATTGAGTTTTAAAAAATGAGCAAAGTCCCAAAAGAGAATTCCTGCAGTCAGCATGTCAACTACACACTCCCTCAAAACCTGCAACATCCGTGGCATTGTGCTATGTGATAAAACTGCACATTTTAGAGTGGCCTTTTATTGTGGGCAGCCTAAGGTACACCTATGCAATAATCATGTCGTCTATTTAACAATAATAATAGAATATATAATTTGCTGTTTAAATCTTGTGTGATTCCTTTGTATTGAAACCCTGGCACAACAATTTCCTGCAGAATCAATAAAGTTATTTTCTTAATCAGCATCTTGAAACGCCACACCTGTGAGGTGGATGGATTATCTCAGTAAAGGAGAAGTCCTCACTAACACATATTTACACAAATTAGTGAACAGTGATTGAGAATAATGTATTTTGTGTACAAAGAAAAAGTCTTAGCTCATGAAAAATGGGAGCAAAAACAGAAGTGATGCGTTTATATTTTTGTTCAGTGTAGTTTGTAGCCACATCAGCAGCCCTGTGTGTTAGCCCTTAAACATTAGCAGTGAACTAAAAGCTAAGATTAGCAAAACTGAGGAAACATAGCAGGGCAAACTGGTTTTTTTTTAACTTGGTAATTTATATAAAATGCTACAGCATCACTTGCATTTGTGTGGACATTTTTGATGTAACCCAATAAACAGAACATTATGTAGTCAAATATACGTTCATCAAGTCACTGTTGTGACAAATAAAATGCAGACAAGTTTATCACTCAACCACTATTTATTAAACAATCTGACGTCCTTTCTGTTATAAATAACTATAAAAAAAGATCAGGCTCATAAAAAAAATGAAACAGTTATTTTTTACAGGTAAAGTCCATGTTAAAGCTTCCTTTTGACAATCCCGGTAATGTTATTTAGAAATGCACTCTCAACAAATACAAATCAAAGGAAAACCATCAGCTGGTACAAAGGCTCATGGGATACAGGCCAACAAAATGCCTTTTCAAAAATGTAATGGTCACTGTGAAGTTTCTTTAAAGAACATTTAAAAAAAATCAATTTACCTGTGGTAAAATAGCAAAAAATAATGTATTTAGCAATATGGCAATATGTTATTTGTGTTAGCAAATTATATGTTTTATTTACAGATCTATTTTCTTTCCCACAGTATAAAAAGTTCTAAAATGGAAGGACGCATTTTGCAAATTATCTGTTCAAGAGAACTTTCACCTTGAATGTGATTGACTTGAAAAGACTAAAAGATAAAACCTTTGTCAAAGGTCCACATTTCACAACAACAAATATAAAAGTGATATTTTAAATTTGTTAAAGCTCGGGTTAGTTAACAGCAGTCAAAAATAAGGTCACACCTCTTACTGTGAAACATAATACAAAGTCAAACTAACAAAAACAACCATGTTTCAGTTAAGGCAAACATTCTATAAATATAGCACTTTTTTTAATTCCCAAAGGAAATGTCAGTTTTTTTTTAACCAAATAACCAATTTAAGTACCTTTTGAAGAAAATAAACATATTCTTGCTGCATTTACCATAAAGCGATTTGTGTCAAAATGTATTCAAAATGTAAATAACAAAGAAATTATAAAACAAATTTTAACATGTAGTGTCTTTAAATGATCTTGTAGTTTTTGCACTTTAAAATAAGCAGTCACACTTTACCACACCAACACAAAGCATAAAAAACAGCCTAAATAAAACATTAGTTTCTTCCCCTTGTGTTTCATTACTTTTAAACTATAACAAATTAAATGCTTATTTTTTAATAGCTGAAAGGCAACAATTACTAAAATATGTTAACTGAACCAAATCTTTAGCAGCTCAGATGATTAGAGATCTATAAAAAGGTCCGTGTGCTGAAGCACAATCCAAATGCACTTATAAAGACTTGCTGAAATTACATTTCTGTTAATAATGATTGGTTAGAGTACAAAAAAGCTAAACATTTTAAATAGTTATTTTGCTTACATCAGTTTAAGCAACTTTTATTAATTAGATATTAAATGTTAGGACTAAATGACATTCTAATTTCACAATAAAAGCAAGCAACTTCTCATTTTTATTCACAATATTGTAAAAATTGTGTTGCCCATTTTTTTTTTTATCCACTTGCATATGGTGGTTTGATGGGTGATTAAAGGTGCTTATATGTTAGAATCACTAATCTCTGCCCACATCTTATTTAATTGTTTAGGACCCACATTTTTTATTTAGAATCAGTGATTTCCATTAGAAAAGTGGTATAGCAACTAGTTTAACAAAAAAAAAACCAAAGTGCAGTTTTACTTCTAAAACATTCCCTACAAATAATATAATGCACCATTTTAACTCTCTTATGTAAAAGAAAAGAGTTTCTGACATTCAACAAAGTAGCACTTCCTTATTGTTTGTTTTCAGACTTGAATTCTCAACGGATTAGAATTAATTTAGTGTTTAACACCTCTCGAGTATAACAGACATTTTTAAAATGCCACAACCTTTCGTTCAGCGGGAGAGTCAGAACATTCTGCCTCCAAATGATTGTAAACACCTTGACACAGAAGTCAGAGTTCCACCTGCTCCTCTTGTCCTGTTCAAAGCTGATCGCTTCCGTCGTAGACCACAGGCTTGACTAGACTCAGCTGATACAGCACTTTCTTTGAGATAAACCTAATTAACAAAGAGACTGCTTTATGTTTCACCTCAACGCAAACACAGTGATCTGTGCTTAGGAGAGGACAGGTGTAGAGGTTGAGTTAGTAATCTAAAGGACACAATGACTCACCTGGAGAAAGAGTTGTCAAAGATGAAAATATACTCTCCTGGGTTTCTGACTTTCAGCTCCCCCTGTATCGTCTCTTTGTGGGAGTTACAGCGAGTTAAAGGGATCAAAACCTGCAGAAAACAAAGAACAGGAATGCCAGTTAAATCTGTGCATGCAATAGTTCTAAAAAAAAGTCCAGAACTGAAAAAAAGAGTTACCTTATATTTAAATATGACTGACTTTTGGCATTGTTCCAGTTATTTTTGGTGTTTCATACTCATGAGGGTCCGACATTACATATACACACATTTAAGTATATATAATTGTCTCTCGTTTATCATGGGGCGTCTGTACCCTGAAGACCAGCGATAAATGAAAAACCACCAAGTAGGAATATATATATATATATATATATTTAGACCTACATGTATATATAAATACAAATCTAACTGGATTTCGA